AACGCATCATTAGAGGTTTTAATCAGAAAAAAGATGTGAATCCATTTGAAAAGTATATCTGGTAGTAAAATTGGACAAGGAAGAGTATGAAGATGATAAGACCAATTAGGAGGCAACCGATGGTGATGGTGTGACCTAAGGTTCCTGTGGTGGAACTGGAACATGGAGCAGTAGCCCTCAACCATAAGGGCACAAAGAATTTACATGGGGAGTTTAAAAAGAATGGCATATCTAGGTCCTTCTCAAGCCCTTTAATATCTCTCAATAAAATATTCTATATGCTTTCTCTTCTGTAGCTCTCTTCCTCTGAAATGCTATTAGTTTAAAACCTCAAAGTCCACTGCGTAGTCAGTTCATTATTGGACATAACCAAGGACATAATTTCTTCCTCACTTTGACAATAAATTGAGAAGCAAAGCCATATGGCAGTCTAGCTTAGCCAAGTGATTTTATCTCTTCTCAGATAAATCTAGCCAGTAAATCTCTTTGCTGTGAGAAATCTTAATGTTTCTGCAGAGTATTCAGAGGGGTGATTTTGTTTCCTTGTTAAGTGCGGGCCAAAGTGTTTGTCAAAAGAGGCAGTTTTGACTAATCCTAATTACATAAGAACCAATTTATGTAGTTACTTCTGTGTGATTCAATGTGTATTGTGCACATGGTTTGTATGCAAGACTTAAGAAATGGGTTTAAAGATGTTTTCAACATATAACTTGTACCATAATTAAATGCAAAGTATTTAAATAAGATCATTAAGATAACATACAAATATGAATATATCCAGCCCAGCACAGCTTTCTTCAATTTTATTTTAATATTATTTTACGTTATTTCATTTTACAGTATGTGATGGCACGAAAGAGACTTGCAAGGTTTGCAAAAAATAATATGAGAATATACATGTGTTTCTTCTTTTACTCTCATTAGCTAGAGAGTATTGGGTTTCATAGTGATGTTCTATTTGAAATATAATGAAGTACTTTCTTCAATAACAGCTTATTGGCTATTTTAATTGAATAAAATATTTCAAGAATGTGTTAAGATCAACTTATTTGTTATAGACACAAAAATATGTCTTTAATCTTTCTCTCTTAATATCCTAATGGGAGTCATATATATTTACTGTTTCCACGAGTGATGCGATTAACAACTATAGTGAAATATGTTGGAGAAAATTATCTTTGAGCATTTTCCAGTGGTGGTTTGATTAACATATAGTGGACAGAAAGCAAACACTCTGTTCAAATACACAATTCAAAGATCCCTCTTGTTGCTTTTGTTTTCACTGCAGCTGGGAAGGGAAAATTATATGACATATATCCATTCATCCTGCTTCCAAATGATTTGTTTTGGTAGTGATTTCAAATATTTTTCAGTTTGAAAACTCATGAAGTGTCTAGGAATAATTTACAGTGTAGATAAACCAGCCTGTGGTTGGTTTTGCCAGTGTTTCTCAGTTTTTATTGCTGTAAAACATCCAAATGATTCTGAAATGGAATGAAAATCTAAGCCAAGGTTATACTTTAGTCTTGATGAACCATGTATTACTGAATAATGAACATACAGGGACGCATCCTCTATGCATGATTGGGTAGTCTTGCTTATAAATAACATCACCAGAGAAAAAGAATTAGTTCTAAGATAGCAACCAAAAGAAAATTCATGGAGTTTCAGGACCTAACGCTCACAAATTTTCTCATTAGAAAACCCTCAAGTCCTTCTATAGATTATGTTTACATTTCTGTAAATACAGTGAGAGCTAGCAAGTGATCCATTTTGATCAGTTACAAAATGTAAGGTAGCAAAGTTTAGGAGGAACACGCCCATCCACAATGAAGACAAACCAACAATGAAGTAATAGCTGATATGACAGTAAAGCAAGAGAAAATATTCATAAGGCAGTGCTAAAAAATTTTAAAAAATAAACACCAAAACTCCACAGTGATCTGGAGACCTACCCTTGTAAGAGCTAGTGTAAGCAGTTGTTCTTGTTCATACAAGAGCCCTACCTGTCTGCTCAGTTTACCTTCCCCAATCACCCTGTTACTAAAGTTTGCATGGTCACTGCAAAAACAAGAGTTTGACACACTAATGAAAAGTCCCAAACTTCAGCATAAGTGGTGTAAAAAGATAAAGTTCAGCATATTAAAAATATGAAGTTTACCTGGGTAATCACTTCCACAGGGATAGCACCAAACCAGAAGTGATCAAGAGCACTAAGGATGGACGTTAGGGGAGAGGCTCCTATGAAGAAAAGGTAGAAGCGAAGTAAGGAAACTATTTGATTGGCTATTGCTTAAGCATCTACTTGATTTGGAAAAGCAGAGTTGTCCTTAGGTTTTGATTTTTTAATCTTGAGGAATTTACAGGCTTAGGTTTGGGTTTGCTTCCTGTGTAGGCGGCTAACATATTAGTACCCCCTCAGTCTATGGAATGGCCTCCTTGTTTAATTCACCACGGGAACGTGAACTTTATATTGCCTAAATTTTGAAACTCCTGTTTATTTCTTCTCTTTGGGTAAGAAAGCAAGGAGGAAATGAGAAAGGGGACTGAAGGAAGTTGAGAAATATAGTCCCTATGCAGACAGCCGCTCCCCCAATAGCCGCTATTTCATCTGCTCCCTGCCCTGGGCCGGGGACCACAGGGCTAGGATGCCGGTACTGGCCTAACAGGCACCGTGGAAAGTACTGTATTTGTCCTGTGCTGTAAACATCTGAAAAGATAGTGATAAAATGATCAGTCCACTAATATCCAACAATAATACTAATTTAAAAGAAACCCAGAGTTGCTTTGAAATTCTGTTTTGAAGATTTTAATAAAGTCTAAGTCTTTGAAGTTTTCAGTATATTTTCCCTAATTTACATTACAGAGGAAAATACCTCTGGTTCGAGCTATTCCTTTGGAGTGATTTTTTTAAAACACTTTTTATATCTGGGACCGTTTAATTCACTAACTGCATTACATTTGCCACATTTCTTGTCTAGATTGATATTCTAAAAAGGACTCTGTATGGATTTTCAATTGTTCCTCCATGACTATTTGTACTCAGAGAGATACTACACCTAGTGCAAGGCAAATGCACAACTCTAAAGTTAACCTAAGTGCTGTGCTAGGAGGCCTTCATTTGGTTGTTATAAAACTTTTATTGCTTACTTTTGTTGTAAGCTGCCTCACATATTTTTGGTAATGAGGCGGAATATATAAATAAAGCAAATGAAATTGCTTTATGTAGCTCTGCCTAGAACCAGGTCTTAGGGCCTGACACATCCTCAGGAAAAGCAGGCTGCTTCTGCAGGTGAGATGTGTCCATTCCCATTTAAAATATAGGGTAACTAAAGCACAGAGAGTTTTGTGAATTATGCCAAACTCGATACCTAGCAAACCTAATAGGAAAAATTCCTCCCAGGGTCTCCTGAATCCTTGTACAGTATTTCTTCTATTATGTAATTCTGCCTGGTCCAAAGAGACTGTCAACAACTCATTCACCCATTCACTCATTCTTTCATTCAGCAAACATTCATATGTTAGTGGAAACAGCAGTGTTAAAAAAGAAAGATTTCCTGGAGGCTGGGAGGCAACCGTGATCAACCCGTAAAGTACATGAATTTTTTCCATCCTTACAACAATTCTATGAATTGAACACAGTGCTTCATTCTTGGGGTTTTTGTGGAGTTCTTGGCCATTTCCATTTCCATGGTTCTTTTAAATTATATTATTATATGAGACCATGGAAAGGTCTAGAAGGAACACTACTGTGGTAGTGTTTCTCATTATTGCTGTATCCACAAAGACATCAGGCAGTGGGAGACCTTTAAAGTTTACGATAAAACCAAAGTATAGTCTCTCTGCCCAGAAGAATGATCACTTTTTTGAGATGCAAGAGAGATATTTTGGACCATTCGCCTGTAGTAAGTACTGGTAGCCTTACATTAGTTATCAGAGTTGTGAATAGCTGATTCTGTGGTATTATAAGCCACATTAAATACATTTTTGTTTTTTGGAATGTTCCTGTATTGAGGAGAACATCACAGTCCTAATTAAATCACTGCTCTCAGCTTTTTAGGAACCCATATCCTGCCAGTTATCAAGACTGTCGATTCATATCTTCTGGTAATAGCTGTGTGGAAAAGGGCTGTTCTCCTTAGTCAGACACTGAATCTCTCATACTTGCGCTACATCCCCCCGCTGACCTCCCAGAATGAAAGACTCGGGGCAATGATCACGTCTGATTTTCCCTCCTGCAGTGGCAGGGTGAGCAGGGCCAGTCCCTGCAGATGGCTTTCAAATGCCTTTGCGATGTGATCTCCTTGCCTTCCCATCCATTTCTCTAAGTGCCTATTACTGTCAGTCTTTACCTCCCCGAGAAGATTCCAAGGTAGGAACAGCACGAGTGAACAAGAACATTTGTGATGCTTCCTGAGGGCATTGCTTATTAAATGACTTCGGCAGTGAACCAAGTCTGACTTGTGAGCAACAAGGCAGGTTAGCACATTTACATGAAGATCATTCCATGTATTATTTTAACCCATTCAAACACAGTGGTGTCTCTTTGCTTTCAGCATAACTCACATGAAACAAATAGAAGCTCCAAAGTTAATAATGTCAGACTTTTATTTTCAAATAGACTGAGAATCACTTGGTTTTTCATTCCTTTGTTTGGATTGCAGCTTGTTTTCTCACAGCAACTGAGAAAGGTATATGAAATGTGTGTGGAAGACAGGGAACAAAGGGAATAAAAATGCATTGCTTTAGGGCTGCACATCTGTTTTAGAGACTCTACTGCATCTGCACATTAACCATTGTCACAACTTGTGATGTGTCCTAAAACTGCATTCTACTCAGAGACGTGCATACCAACACAAAATATTGCAATTAAACAGATTTCACTTGTATGAATAGTTTTCTATTTTCATGGCTAGCATAATTGTTTTCCTACTTAAGTTGATAGTGCATGTATGATTCATAGCAAGCAGTGATTTATTCTTTTATTTCTTTTCAAACAGACTGGCAATATCAAGTTCCTCAGGCCTTCCCGAAAGTAGAAGAGGAGATAGAAGTAGACACGTATGCATTCAGCCACCGGTGGAAAAGGAACACAGATTCCCTCAAGGCAGTGGACACGAACCGAGCGAGCATGGGCCAAGACTCCCCAGAGCCCAGGAGCTTCACAGACCTGCTACTGGATGATGGACAGGACAACACTACCCAGATCGAGGTAAATACTCTGTATAATTGAAATGGATTAATGCATATATTTCTTGTGAGGCACTCAGCATATGTTGTCCCTTCAACTCAATCTAAAACTTTTGGACTTCTTTTGGTAAGGATCAATTTAATTCATTGGTAAATAATTAATTTATTCATATTTAGTCATTCAACAGTAAATAATTGTAATTATATCAAATAAACAGCTAAACCATGTAATCACCCATAACTTTGTTTACTCACGAACCCAACACACATGGGCACAGTGTGGAGATGAGAGTGAGGGGACACAGAGATAAATGCAATACAGTTCCTGCCTGCAAGGAATTTATTGTGTAAGAGGGTCTAAGCACCATTATCAAATCATCTCTATGCTGTGTCATATGTACAAAAAAATATACAGGCTGGAGTGTGGCAGGCGTGGAGGAGGGAGTGATCATGTGATTAGGGTAAGGGGGGTGGGCTGTTGTCAAAGAGATTAATTCCAGGACTGGGCTTCTAGGCAGGGACTTGGCAAATTGAGAGGAGCCCACCGGCTTGATCTCCTGTTGGTGGTGAGGGAGAAGATTCCTGGCAGAGTGACGACATCTGCGGCAACTGAGTTGTAGAGCAGCATGGCGCGCTGCAGAGTCTCGCAGGGTGACCAGCTGTTGAACTGGGGGGTTTCCTGGAGTGTAGGACCTTCAGTGCTAAAAATGGGGAAGTTCTGGTAAAACTGGGATGGTTGGACACCCTCTGACTGTAAGTAATTCTTTATTATGGGGACAGCTATGAAGTTGAGTGGGGAGGGGTTGGAGACAGGTTTGGTGAATCTGGAAGTTTGTTGAGGGCAGATTTTAGGCAGATTTTAGGGTGAGCCAGAGGCCTCAAGGGTAGTATTTTATTGCTTAAATTTCTATAGTCCTTAGCATTGCAAATCATAAAATAAGAACTTGTTAGTGCACTAGATACAACAAAAACCACCATGTAAATCTTATGGAAATAAGCAAAAACCACCCAAATGAGAACAAGAGCTGTTTTTTCAGTTTGCCATAGTACGGGGGCCAGCCTCCATCACTTGCCTCTGGTGGAGGCTTAAAACAGGGAAGAGGGAAAGGTTTCAGTTGAAAAAAAGAAAAGTCTTCATGGAAGCTCTGATTGATGAGTGTTGACCTGGAGAAGTGGGAGCAGGGCTTCTGTAAAACAGTATCTTGTGTGATTGGTTGAGGGAGTATGTGTGGCTTTCTGTGGTTGGTCCTGAGTTGGATGCTGGGAGAAAAAAAATAGGGAAGCTGCCAATTATTAATCAGGTCCTGCCCATTGTTGGCCGATTGCTACCAAGTTTACGTCCTGGTTCCCTGGGCTGGTTGCTCTGGCGGTTGGGGTCAGAGTTCTGTTGTCATCCATGATGTGGCCATTGTATCATTGCATAGTCTGTTTGACTCTGAAGTTTTAGTTTCTCATTTCTCCCAGGTGACAGACCTAATCCTTTTTAAGAATCAGGCATCATTCTCTTTACTGCCGTGCACTACTCATTATTTAGGAAAAATCTCCACTTCATGAAATAGATACTACACATTCCTGCAAATAGTATCAAGGCACCATTTGTTCCCTCATTAGTGAGAGGACTCTTCAGAAGATCTGAAGCACAAGCCAGTGGGATTCTGTGTATGTGAGAAGCCCAGCAGTTTTCAAAACCCCTCTCCATCTCCTTAATTAGTATGGACTCTGGTGGTCCCTCGCTGCCTCAGCCAGTGCCAGGAGCAGAAGTCATACTGTATCTATAAGAGGCTATTCTGACTCCTGCAGTGTGCCTACTATTTTGGCAACTATGTTGTTATAGCAACACGGAGTAGGCCACATTATTCTTCCTAGAGAAGCTCTTTAGCTAGGGTGCAACATAAAGAAAGGAGAGCTGAACAGAACAGAGAGCTGTGCAGGTGTTAACTCTCTGAACAGAACGGTACCCACTGAGATTGAAAGAAGGGAACAAAGATTCCTAGGACTCTGTAATCACTGTGCAGGATGCTGAATTTTCCTAATCACTTGTGAAATAGAAAATCTCTTTGCTCAGGGATGTATTAACACTCTTCGAAATATAATCCCAGTTGTTATCATATCTGTGATATTGTTATTCAGCCATTTTTTCTTTTTCTACCTTATCAGAGAGAGACAACATAATGTCAGTGGTTTTTGAATCAGTAAAAAGAAGAATGAAGGATGGTTCAGGAAGCTGTTTGCTGGGTACTCTCAAGGTGCTTAGATCTCCCAGGTATTGTATGGATATTATTAGTCCTTACATCAGCCTAGAGAGATTTGCATCCTCAGGTTCGCTGGTGACTTCAGTGACTTTTACATGATGGCAATTTCAGATTTAGGTTTAGTATTTTTTTTCCTAAGCACTGCAATTAATGAATAAAGGGGCTGGTATTCAACCTCAGGCCTGCCCAGCCGCGGAAATTTAGCACTTCTACTTGACTTAGCTTTCTCTAATATGCAAGGGAAGATAAATGGACAGTGGCAGCAATTAGATATCAATATGAAAGTAGCTTTGGCATTTCAGTCTAGCTGGGAGGGGTCTTGTCTTGAAACTAGATATTACAAGAAGACTGCCTTTATGTTGAGAGTATTTATTTGGATGTGGTTCTGGATTGAGGAAGATTATTGGGGATGTAAAGACCTATACATCATTTCTTGAAACCACCACTAATTCTTGAAACAAAAGCCTACGTCCAAAGCTTTTCTGAAAAGTTTATTTGTTCTGGCCTTGAAATAGTATTTTTAAACACTGTTGTATCTCTTTTTGGGGAAAACACTTTTTCTGGATTGAGGGAAACAGGAATTTTAAAAAAAGGAACCAAATGGTTATAGAATAACTACTCAGTCTTGGACATGGGGACAAGATCTTTCCTACCTTTTAGGAATAAGCATTTTGCTTTATATTGCTCATTACAAGCGATATGCATGAAAGACTATGTGTGTTCTTTCTTTGAAAGGCTTCCACAGTCAGTCTCAGGAATCAGAATTATTTTGCCTTAGAGCCCTGGCTGCAGTAGTAATTTATGAACTAATTTGTATCCCAGTGAGACTGAAACCACCTGGATGGTATTCCTGTGTAAGTCCTCACTTCTGCCATATCTAGAGTATCTATCCCACTTTCATTCAACAAAGTCAAAAGACAATAGCATATTTACCATTTTGGCACAAATTCATTATGAAACAAAGACTGTTGTTCTCTTAAATTTGTGAGTGTTTTTTTCTGGCTCTGCATGAGAACAGATAATGGAGGGATGATAAAACCTAGTATCCCCGCTAAAGAATTCTTCCAATTGAAGTTTGTTGTTGGTGGTGTCACCATTTAAAAAAACATCCTTGCCATGAAGATAGAAAGATATTTTAAAATCAATTGTAGTTCCTGTTGAACAAGCAGGGACTCAATGGTAAGAAATGCCACTACTGATCTGAGTGTTGGTTTATGTAAGATTTTCTTCTTGTATTTTCTCTGATCGTGTGGGCCAAGTAAGAAAAACAGTGCCTTCCTCTGATTTGTAGGTATTAAGTGTGAGGTGCCATAGAGCAATCACTCCTGTGCTACTTTCTGTGATGACTTTGGGAATCTAAGGGCTCCCATAACTTTCAAGTAAAGTAGGATTCCATTCACGGCACAGCCTTGTTTGAGCAGCCTTCAGTGAACCCATGACCCCAGGGACACATGCTTGGATGAGCAGGACACATATCTTCACCTCGCTGCCCGCTGCCCTTCCGTCTTCTGGCACAGAGAACTCCGCGGTGCCTTACAGAACGGAGGGGGCCTGAGCAGGCAGTGTTCAGTGAGATTTACTGATTTTCATAAAACACAACTTTATTAAGTTATTCCTGTGTAATAGTGTTGGTCAGTTATAGTTCTTCACTTTGCAGACATCAACCCCTAATTCCTTTCTAATACACTGAACCAAATATGTGCCTGTATTCACATACAGTATTTGAAGCTTTATATTCCCACTCTTGGGACAATGAAGGTGTTTCTGAAAAAGATTATCAAGTGATTTTTTTTTTTTAGTCCTGACTGACAAGCACCTGGGTGACTTGAAGAAGGGAAGGTTTAAAAATAGGGCTTACAGATCCTATAAGTGGAGCTTTATGATCCAAACTGGTTCAGAAATTATCAGCTTGACCATTGTCTCTCAGGTGATGCAGATGTGTCTGGACCACCGGCCACACTTCAAGTTGCAAGGAGTTGGAGCATCAAGTAGCTAGTAGTTTTGAGGATATAAATGTTCTGAACAATCCTAGATTAAATTGACAATAACATGTCTCATGTATTTCTCATTCTGGTATCAAGTTAAAAATTGCAGGCATTTCCAGCATTTGTTGTATTATCTGTTTGTCTTATAGCTCTGAGGAAGGTGCAGTCAAGAATGGTCATCAAATACATGTGAATAAATGTAGTTAAAAACTAGAGATCAACCACTTTTCCTCCTAAATTCACAAGAAAAACCCTTTATGATCTTCCTGTATGGCCTACATTGTCCTTGTGTCTGCATCTTATTTTTACAACTTGTAAAATATGTTTCTTAAAAAAAGTTAGCAATTGATAACTGCTGCACACATGGTTACTGTGTGTGTTCTCATATTTTATTACAGTGCCTCACTAGGTAATGTATTTGAAAATAAAGAAGTCACTGTCAAATGCTTAATCTAAAAAAGAGTGTGGTTGCTTTGATGACTATCTTACAAAGAAGAAAGCAAATTCCGTAATATTCCATGTAGGCAGAATGTCCATGGTATGTTTGCAGCATGCAGAATATATCACAACATTCTCAGATAATGAAAAGCCTAATACTCATGTGTGTCAGAGACCTGACCATAACAATAATGAATAAAAATAGTGGGTCATAATCAAACACATTGTCCAATTTCACGGAAATAGAGTAATGTAAACTAATAGAATATTGCTGTGTTGATTCTTTACAGACCACTGTTCTGTATAGTGATCTCATGGAAGAGAATACTTATATGTGAGACAATATG